CACACTTGAGTGACATCCTTTCTGTCTCTGTCATTAAGCACTTTTTGTGTGTGTAGTGCCCAACATTCTTTTCTTTTGTAAAAAATTTATTATTTTTATTTTATACATATGAGTGTCTTGCCTGAATGTGTTTAATTACACCCATGTCGCGCAATGCCCATGGAAATCAGAAGAGGGCATCAGATATCCTGGAACTGGAGTTATAAACAGTTGTTAATGTTTGTATGGGTCCTGGGAACCGAATCCAGATCCTCCTCTGCAAGAGCAGCCAGTGCTCTTAACCTCTTAGCCATCTCTCCAGCCCCCAATATTCTTTTCTATAAACAGTATAACCCATGGTGGGTGGGGTTGACTCAACCCCAGGGAGGAGTCATGGCTGGTCAACCCCAGGATGGTCAATCAAGGCTCAGGCGTCCCTGGACACAGGCTTTAGTTCAAGGGGACCCTAGAAGCCAGAAAGGGGGGCCAATGGGTAGATGGGCTCTTGCTAGAGGGTTTTGTTTATGAGTTTGTCTTCCACTCCCAGGAGAACACAAAGAAGTACACAACCTTCCCCACGTACACAGCCTTCCCCACGTACAAAGCCTTCCCCACGTACACAGCCTTCCCCGCGTACACAGCCTTCCCCACGTACACAGCCTTCCCCACCTACACAGCCTTCCCCACGTACACGGCCTTCCCCACCTACACAGTCTTCCCCACCTACACAGCCTTCCCCATGTACACAGCCTTCTGTGCCCCAGGGAGGAAGCTAATCACTTATCTAAATGTGCAAAAAACACTTCTGTACAGCAAAGGAAACCCAAGCATGGGAGAGAATCTTTTGTCAGCTATGCATTTGATAAAAGATTAATCTCCATAAACGTACAAAGAACTCAAAAAACAAAGAATCAAGAAAACTACCCAATTTAAAAAAATGGGCTACAGATCTGAACTGAGAGTTCTCAAAAAAACTAAAAATGCCTAAGAAATATCTTTAAAAATGTCCAAATCCTTAGTAATCAGGCAAATGCAAATAAGAACTGCTTTAAGATCTCACCTTACCCCAGTCAGAATGGCTAAGATCAAGAGAACATCTGACCACAAATGCTGATGAGGATGTGGGGAGAGGGGACCCTCATTCACTGCAGTTGGGATTGCAGACTGGTGCAGCCACTATGGAAATCAGTGTGGAGAAGTCTCACAAAACTAAACATAGATCTACCATATGACCAAACCACATCATTCCTTGGACTATACCTGAAGGACTCACTTTCCTGCCATAGAGACACCTGCTCAGCCATGTTTGTTGCTGCTCTTTTCACAATAGCCAGGAAACAGAAACAACCTAAATGTCCATCAGCTGATGAATGGATAATGAAAATGTGGTACATTTACACATGGAGTTCTATTCAGCTGTAAAGAAAGACGAAATCATCTAATTTGCAGGATGGAACTAGAGATTGCTATACTAAGCGACACAACCCAGACTCATAAAAACAATGGATGCATGTTCTTGCTCAGTTATGGATCCTTACTCCAAATCCTTGGGTGTGAGTGTATGTCCTGAAGGAGCCTTAGCAGGGGCCAGGAAAATAGAAAGGAACTGTGGAGGGAGAGGGGAAACAGGAGCTTGAGGGAGGAGGCCAGTAGAACACAGGCATCATCAAAGGAGAAATGAGGAAAATGGGGGGAGGTCCTCTAACTGCAGAGTGGGGAGGGAGAGCTATAGAGGGGGAGAGAGGGGAAAGAAAGATAAATAATACTTAGGTGATTTGAAAACCGAAGGGAAATACATTATTTCATAAGCCTACTACACGTATAATATATATGTGGGTGCATATGTGTAGCTGAGACTCTATAACAAAAATCACAGTGCCAGGCAAGGAAAACCTCCCTTTGAGCTATTGGTCAGGGTAGTCCAAGAGACTCCAAAAATAAAATAGGCTATTGCCACAGCCCTTGATTGTCTGCCAGAACTCGAAGGTCAAATGCTGAAGAGAGGACATACTTCAGACACAGGACTTGAAACAATTAAGCTGGAACTGACCTGGAAGCCTCTTCCCTGAAGACCAGCTCTCATAGTATCAGAAACTGCTATAGAAGCTACCAAGGGAGAAAACCAATCAATGGTCCCACCTTGCTGTAAAACTCAAGAACCATACAACGACTGGCCCACAGATTAGCTCTATTGGTACAACCGTGGCCTTTTATGTTGGGGGCAATCAACAGCTATCTAATTAGACTTAAACCCTACTCAATAGGAATCCATGCATAGTACTGTAAGCATAGCCAGGTACACAAGGCTGGAGAGGTCACAGACCCTAGAGGAGGAACTACACCACTTTCCTAGATCAACGTAATTTCTCACTATATTCTAAATATGCATCTTTATGGTCACAGGCAAGGGTAGCTCTTGCTACAAATGGAGACATTACAAAGTTCCACAGTTGGTCAAATGCAGAGAATAAGTGAGATCCCAGCCCTAAGTGACACATCTACAAAGCAACTTCTATACCAAAGGCTCAGGGAACATCATGGAAGAGGGGGCAGAAAGGGTATGTGAGCCAGAGGGGCGGACACCTGCTGCTAGTTAATGCGTTCTAGACACGATAGCAAAGCTGCACCAGTGAACTCTCCACAGTGTGGTAGGCTGACGAGATCTGCAAAATGACAAAACCAGCTGGCATGGCCATTTGGATGGGGAAATTTTCATGGGGTCCCACCTCTAGATGAAGAGCTACAGGTAGACAGTAGATGCTGAGTGAGGGAGAGTCAGTTCTCCAGGGTCTAGCTCCCTGAGAGCTTATCTAATGCCAAGTGGGCAGTCCTAAACATGGGTACACATGAGCACCATTAAATGGTTATAAATGTATATAAATGCAACAATAATAATCAAAGAAGAGGACAGGAAATGGGGGGGCATGGGCTGAGTGGGAGGCAAGATGGGAGGAGTGGAGATAATGTGCGTATAATACTCATGTGTGAAATTCTAAAAAATAAATAAGTTTAAATGCATCTAACAAGGATGATTTTGTATCTGCATGGGCACATCAAGACAGTCTGAAAAGCTTTCAAAGCTTGATTTTCTAAGTATTTCCCTAAAGAGACAAAAGGTGGAAATCTTTCTCCTAATTGGTATATTACTTACAAGATCTTCCTCCACATTTTATTATCTGTAGTTATGTTTGTATGATTCTTTTATTTTTATTTGTGTGTACATGCATGTGTCCAAGGAAGCCAGAAGAGAATGTTGAATCCCCTGGAGCTAGAGTTACAGGCAGTTATGAGCTGCCCCATGCAGGTGCTGGGAACCAAACTCTGGTCCTCATGATAGAATAGAAAGTGCTCCTCACTGTTGAGCCACCTCTCCAGCCTCTTATTATCCATACTAAAGGTGATAACAATAAAATTAATTCCCTGGTACTTTGCTAGCAGTCAAACTTGAAAACCTTCACTATATAATGTGACAGAAAATTTCACTAGTTTTAAAACTGTTCAAAGCAAGAAACAATCTAAAACTTTCCTTGTATTCTTTGGGTTTTTAAGTTTCAAATATAAACAAGAAAAATGTGTAATTCAGTAAAAACTAATTCTCTGTCAGCCTCATGGATCTAGAGGTGCTCATGGGATACTCGGTATCCTCACCTCCCACTCCTTACTTCAGATGGCCGCCATGAGGACATGAGAGCCTTGGTTCTCGAGACTCCACCATGTACGTGTGCAGTCTAAACACCACATCCCCTTCCTTAAGTTCCCAGCTAACACTTCAGAGCTAAGCTCATGGCTTCACTGACTTATTTGCTTAACTAGTTGCTTTTCAGCTGAGTTTGCACCTCACTTTGTTTTGTTTATTTGACAACGTCTCCTGTGGCTCAGGCTGTCCTAGAACTTGCTATGTGGCCCAGGCGAGCCTTGAACTAATCTTCCTGTCTCCACATCCCACATACAGGGATTACAGACATGTACCACCATGTCCAACTTAAATTCACATTATTTTAAAAACATATTATTACTTGTGTGTGTGTGTGTGTGTGTGTGTGTGTGTGTGTGTGCGCGCGCGC